GCTCCGGACCCCGCACGACATCTCCACAGGAAGCGCTTAGATTCGCCTCTCTGATGCGATTTCGACGAGGTTTTTGTTCGAACTTGAAAATCGAATCGTGAGAGGCAGGAGAATCTGAAATGGCGGTAATCCAGCCGACCAGCAGTTATGATTGGGCGTATAGCCGTGATGAGTGACGTACGCTTACGCTTATACCTGTAATGTACTGTTATTTGATTAATGCTAGTACATCCTACCTATAGGGGAAATATCACTTCCCACTAAACGCGCTTGTTCGCCTGAGAGTAGCAGCTTACAGGAATGTTGTTACCGTAATATATGTATGTATATTGCTATCTATATATAATTATATAGTCTATAGTATATCTCCTATATACTATATATCATATATGTTGCAATAGTGTCTTATCACCTAGAATGCTGATTTATCCATATGGCCGCTACTATAGTTAGCCCATTTTAATCAATAAAATATTCGATACGCCATAACTTTATCGATCGTCCGTGGCCCAGCCTCGTGTATTTTTAATGTGCACAAATTTCCTTTCTCTGCCATTTTAGTTTTCATTATTGACGTTCACGCATCTCACAGTCCCAGCCCACCACTCCTGCACACACTCTTCCTCCATCACTGCCATCAGGCCTTTCATCCCCCTTACGGAACCACCCCACGCGACGACACCACCCAGCCCGCCGCTAACACCGCCGCCACCCTTCCCCACTTGCACCAGCACCACCGTCACCGCCGCCACCACCACACCACCACCAACACCACCCCACACCCCACCACACCACACCGCCACCCCACCACACACCACCGCCGACACACCACCACCACCACCATACCACCACACACACCAAGGATCAGCCCAACATTTCAACTTCTCATGAATAGCACAACCGCCCCGACTTCAGGAGGACACTGTCGACCACGCTAAACACGCTATACTCCATTGGCATACCGCATCGCGCCGAGGACGGATGGACGCTGGTGCAGTCCACACTTATCTGCGCCTTCGTTCTTCGTAATCGCTAGAATTAGCTGATGATTTCCGCGCGGAAAATCGAATTAGAAGCCATCTCGGTGCGTTTGCTGGGCAAAGAGCTGCGCGCGTAATCGAGCACGCGCATTCAGCGTGTGTCCGCGCACGCGCCGCACACCCATGCCGCGATCTGCAACGAGATGAGGGTGTCGTGGCGTCCGTGATGTGCCCTGTGCATGTGGTCGAGTGTCATGAGCGACGTGGTGACGGCGCTCGTCATTGGGTGAGTGTGAGGGCCAGGGTGCAGCGGGAGGGTGAGGGTGTATGGGTTAAAGAGCTGTGGTGAGGTGTGTGCCGGTGATGGTGACGGTGACGGCTGTGCTGGCCTGATTCGGTGAGGTGAGGGTGTGTGGCGTGAGGTGGGTTGATGGAGGGTAACGCGTGAGCTGTGCTGGGTATAGGCTGGTGTCCGGTCGGTGCCGTTAACGGTGAGTGTGCGTTGGGCGTGACGGTGAGTGGTGGGTGAGGGTTAGGCGTGTGGTGAGGTAACGGTGAGGGTGTGTGGAGTGAAAGCTGTGTGGGTGAGTGTGTGCGTGTGTGGGTGAGGGTAAAGGTTGAGGGTTGGAATGAGTCGTGCTGGGTTAGGGTGTGTAAGGAGTGTGTGGTGTGAGCGGTACGGTTGAGGTGTGTGGTGATGGTGGAGGGTGATGTCGGGTGAGGAGCGTGAGACGGTGAGGGTGAGGGTGAGAGTCGAGCGGTGTGGGCGTGAGGCGTGGAAGGGGTGTGGGTGAGGAGTCCGTCGCTGTGGGTCGTGGGGTGAGGGGATATGTGTACGGTGGGTTAACGGTGAGGGTGTGGGTGAGCGGTGTGGCGTGTGAAAAGGCTGGTGAGTGAGGTCGCTGTTTTACGGGTGAGCGTTAACGGTGAGGGTGTGGTGAACGGGTGTGGGTGGTGTTGAGTGAGAGTGTGTAGGTCGAGATGTTCAACGGTGGGGGCATGTGGGTGAGGGTGACGTGCAGTGAGGTGTGTCGTTGGATGATGATTGACGGTTAATGTGAGGGGATGTGTGGATGATGGCTGACGCGTGATGTGGAGGGGATGTGTGGTCGTGATTGGCTGAAGGTTACTGTGCAGCCGGTGCTACGTGGATGATGGATGACGGTTACTGTGAGGTGTGTGGATGATTGGTGACGCGGTTACTGTGAGGTGTGTGTGATTCGATGGTTGACGGTTAATGTCAGAGGGGTGTGTCATTGACTGTGTGACAGGTACTGTGAGGGTGTGTGCGATGATGGTGACGGTTACTGTGAGGGTGTGGATGATGGTGATGGGTTACCTGTGAGGGTGTGTGGTGATGGTGACGGTTAACTGTGGGGGTGTGTGGATGATGGTGACGGTGACTGTGAGGGCTGTGTGGATGATGGTGACGGTGTCTGTGAAGGGTGTGTGGATGATGGTGACGGTTACTGTGAGGGTGTGTGATGATGGTTGAGGGTGAGGGTGTGGGTGAGTGTGTA